AAATCACTTTCGTTTTGTGAACGGAATCGTCGGAATGAGGAAGTTGTAAATTTTATTATAACTGTTCAATCACGTTAGTTCGATTTCGATTTTAAGTAAATAAAATAATAATGAACTTAAATTAAATTACATAAACTCTTTTCAGAATCATTCAACTTTTTAAACTTTCAAACATCGAATTTTTCATGCGCAATTTTTTGCATCATGCAGAGATCAGTGACTTCCATTGAGTTCTATAAGACCTATCTGCGTCTATATTGAGTCTTATAGAACTCAATCGAGGCCCTTCCCTCCAGGTCTTATAGAACTCAATGATTCTGATTGGTTAGCCGGATGACGTATAACACGACGGACCGAGTTTACGCGGAATATATAATCGTGACAGCTACACAGAACCAGTGAACTCGACATTTGAATAACTGGAATGATAACCGAAGCCAAAAATTGAAGCCAAAAAAATATTTGTCGTCATCATTCATCATCACACGTCAGGCTCTAGTCTCTCGCGTGTTCATTTTATTTTTTTTTAATCATTTGTCCCTTGGTAATGGTTGCGTTCGGATCTTGATCAGAGCGTAAAAATAACGAAATTTTTGGAATGAAAAGGTTCACGGAAAGTGAATCAAAGTGATAAATCGAGAAGCAAGATGAGGTGAACTTAGTCGATCTGCTCTTACGCTGCGGTTTTCCTTTAAAACATATCAAAGTCTTTAAGGATATTCAATTATTGATATCGCGATGACAACCATTTAGTATTCAAGTTTCAAGCACTATCAAAATCGATGAAAAATACAATCGCTCTGTAAAAAGTAAAAATGCGAGTTATAGACTCAATATTTTTTATAAAACTGGATATTCAAGTTTCTTTTTTATTCGGAAAAACAGATCTTTAAATCCACTTAAATGACAAAAAAGACAAACACTGTCTGACACCGTTTGAAAGTTTACCTTCCGACGAAAGAAAAATTTATGCTTGAATATTTTCTCGTTATATTTTCTATTGTATTGTGTTTTTAGCAAACAGTGTAATTTTCAGTTGGCTTTTCCTCGTAACAAGTTGTAAGTTACAACGAACTCACTGTAGTAAAGTTTCAGCTGTAAAAAATAACCTTTTGCGAGGAGTTGGCCTAGTGTGTTTTTGGTAGTGATGTTGTTTATATGTTTTTGCTTTTGTAATTTGTATTCAAATTTATATTGGCCGTGTATGTTTGGCACTCAGGGGAATGAAACTAACGTACAAACCGCGTGAATATTTGACTTTGAAGGACTGGAACCTGACGTACAAACCGCGCAAGAGACTAGGACTTTGGCTTCAATTTTATATCTATAAAATGTATTGTCGTTATCATTCCAGACATATATATATATGGAGTTCACTGCACAGAACACTCGGTCTTCGCTCAAGTGTATGATACACTCAACGAATTAAAAAAATTTTCAATTTCTATTTTTTCCTATTTTCGGTTAACTTGATTTCCCGACAGCAGGTAAGTCTGACTTTTTTATTACATTTAGAACATTATGTTAAGAGACCACATTATGTCATACGTAAACGTTTTACTCGAGCTAAATTTTTGTCCTCATTTAGCTAAAGCTATGATATAAGTTTTGATTTATTATTAAATTTAGTGAATTTGTACAAAGTTGCGGGATTTGATTTTCATTGCGTAGTACTAACTAGTTTTGGCTTTTCTGACTAAAATCTAACGTTACTTTCAGATCTTACCTCCTGTGGCGTGCGTCAAGTCAATCTATTGTTTGAAGAGGAGAAGCAAAAGTTCTGACCGTATTTAGAAATCCATTGTTTTCAGTGAGTGAAACTAACAAAAATTTTACATACATTTTTGCGCTATCGTGCTAGAAATACTTCGGATGTCTCCAAGGTTAAAATCAAATTTTAAAGAGTATCGATTAACTTTTAAATTCTTGCATGGAAAAGTTCCGTGAATAAAGACTTTTTATCTTTATTTTATACCAGCATAGACATGGGTTGCAAGCTTTGCAAGATATTCTACAAGAGAAAGTTGGAACATGGGGAACATGAAGTAAGCAATGGTGAACAAAATGTACACCATAATCTTGGTGAAGTGACGTCAGGAATAGAAAAGAGTGGAAGACGTCATCCCGTACAAGAGACTCTTATTGAGGAATTTGATTTTTTACCTCATGTCTTGGATTTGATAAGAGAACATGGATATACGATGGAAGCCAGGGATGATTTTGTAGTGAATGTTCAGTCAACACAAGAAGAAGTTTAAATCAGAATGTATTAGTTGCCAACTTTCAGGTCCGTTTTTCAAACGTCGCATTTTACATGAGCCGAATGCATTTAAAACAAAAGAGAACGAGGAATTTCGTCTCAATTTTTTGTTTTGAATGCATTCGGCACATGTAAAATGTGCCTTGTGAAACGGGCCTTAGTATAGAAATAAGCATTCATTATATATTACCGTAAAATAACCATTCACTATATAATAGTGTAAGCACTTGAAAACGCATCTTGTTTCAAAATGGAAACTTTCAAGGACATATTTGTTTACATTTTGTGTAGCTAATTGATAATTAATAACTTTCTTTAAACTTTTGTATGTAAATATATATTTATTTTTATATATATTATTATTAACTTTGAATGGAATGATAATTTTTGATGTAATCAGTTTTAACAGTGGTTTTAACATCAAACCGTTCATCGTTTTCTCTCGAAGTGTTCCTTGTAGACTAAAGCAGTTGATTTCAAAACAAGCCAAATAATAATGGTAAATTCTGGTTATTTAAAATCAACGAGAAGATATTGTAAACTGCTACACAAATGCAAAATGATTTGATAAATTGTTTAATGTATTTTCCTCGTGTTGAGTGGGACTTATTCAAGCTCTTGACCAATCACCGCACCGCATTGTGTTTATTTTATAACCTTGATGACGCCCGAAGCAGCACAACCTGATTGGCTGAAATGCAGTGTAAGGCAATCATTTTTTGAGTAATGGTAAATGTGATATAGTTTTATATTTATTCTGTCCTTTCATCTTTGCTGCCCTGGCATACTTCTGTAGCGTGGAAATTTTCCAACGTAAGTTATAATGTATCATGTACTATTTTCATGAAAGCATTTTACACTTCTGTTTCAAGCATTTTGATTCTTGTAAGTAAACGTTCAAAGACGAGTTTATTTGAGAGCACGCGGTTTTTGTGAGCACTTTAAATATCGATTTGTGTCATATGTTTGAGTGTGACTTCATGTTTTCTTTATCCGTTTTTCTTCCTGGCTTTTAGGATGAATAATTATCCAATCATTGGGAAACGTGAACGTTTTACAAACCATCCTGAGATAAACAATCTCTTTGACTCGGAACTCACCCCAGAAGATGTTCTGTGCTCAGTGCTTGGTTTGAAAGATGAGTTTGCTTGCAGGCTTCTCGAACTAACTCCTTACATGAGAAAACACAAAAGTGAAAAGGTACATTTGCTAAGATTTTTAAAGGAGTTTAAGGAAGACAACTTAAAAATCTCAGAGATGGTGAAAAGGTTGCTAAAATCTTGTGCAAGAATGGTTTTACAAAGCATCGATCTGAATTTATTGCTAATTGGATAACCAACATGGCAGATCCAAATCACAAACCAATTTTCTCCTGGGTGAAAACTTACATTGAAAATCATTTTAAGTATGATATCTTGTTAAATGATCAAGTTTGATTTTCCTTTCAAAATGATAATCAAAATGAATGGTTTACTGTGAATATCCCACGTTTAGATGAAGAGGGAAGACATAGTCATCCTATAAATATGATCAATGTTGAATTGCAAGAAGATGCTCTACACCATGTTGGATCAATAGTTGCTGAACTAAATGAAAATAATCCTGAGACAGAAGTATATTTCCATTGTACTGATCCAGAAAGTGCTGTGGATATTCTGGAAATTGGAATTCATCTGGGTTTTGGTCGAAGAAATCAGACTTCTCTGATGGAGCAGGTTTCTACATGGTAAATAATGCAAAGTTCTCATTAGAGCAATATGGATTGAGCAGTACACATCCAGCTATTATCATGTTTGATGTGAGTCCTCAAAACTGAGCAAGTTCAAAGGAATTGATTTATCCAGTGCTGAAAAAGACAAAGATTGGAAATTGATTGTTGAGTATTTTCGCTCAAGTAGCCATGGTATTGGTAATTTACCCAAGAATTTGTTCTCACACATAAGACAATGTGATTACATCCGAGGGCCTGTTTCCCTAAATGGTTCTATTGAAAATAACACATTATCTCAAGGTGTTGAACAAATTTGCATAAAAGAACGAGAATTGGCCAAGCTAATTGGGCATCCATCATTAATCTTAGGCGTTATTTTTCTTAAAGCTCATGAACTGATCCAAAAGGGAAATGAGCTTGGCAGTAAAGATGACGACCATGACATGGCAGAATTGAAGATTGAGCCAATAATAATTGACAAAATCTAAACATGCATTATAGTAATAAACATTTGAAAGTTGATTTTGTAAGTTGTTGTAAATTTCAGGAACCTTTAATCTTATAACCGACAGGTGTTATACCCAAGAACAGTTGGTATAACATATTTTATTGTATACTTATATGTATAACCAACAGTAGATCATTGTAAACTATGATTATCTTTTTACTATTTATACCTGAACATTGTGACATACTTAAGTTAGGAAACGAACTATTTACTGCTTGTTGTAGATTAGATAATTTGATTTGGCTTTTGTGTGATGTCATGATAAATATCAAAAAAATTGGAATTTTTGTTCTTTAGTATTCATTCTGTTAGGATTGCACTTACAGCTTGTTGATGATGCCTTTAGAGTGCTGAGTTTTCTTGCTTAACAAATTTGCAAAACAACACTGGTTTGCTCTTTGTACAACTACATAAATCACAAATGTTTCTAATATTAAAGGCAAATCAGCAATATGCTTCTGCATAACACGTGATTTAATCCTCTAAGTATTGAATATTTATATATAGTCAATGGCGCTGTATATTAATGGCTTTGTTATTGTGAAATTGAGATTCAGTGTTTATTTGTTGCTTTGAATTGCATTCAGAGCTACAAAATTTCGACAATGACTTCAAGAAAGCGTTGCTACAATGGATTAAAACACGCAAAACAACATATGATATTATTTTTCATTTTATTCGGCGTACTTTGTGGATTTTTACTCGGTTCTTTATTGCATGGCAATGTTCAGTCGTCCATAGATCCAACACCGAAGGAATATGCAATGTAGATGTCGTTTCTTGGTGAGATTTGGGTGAGAGCATTAAGACTTTTGGTCCTTCCTTTGATTGTATCCAGCCTGCTTTTCGCAGTCGCTGAATTGGAGTCAAAACAGAGCGGAAAATTGGGAAGAAGAACATTGCTGTATTGTCTTATGACTACAATGTTTGGGGAGTAATTTGTTTATTTGCATTTAACCTGGAAATGTTAACGTGAAAGAACCAGAACCGAACGAAGAAAAAGTTGAACCGATACCTTCTGTGCTTCATCTTACAAGGTTTGTGCAAAATATTCATAAATTTACTGAGTTTGCGCCCTGCTTTTGCGTTCACTGCAAAAATTTTCTTATACATATAACTTTTATTTCTATTATTTAACGACAATGCTTTTACTTTTTCAATATGAACATAATAGCTCAACATAAGACATTTAAAAAAGCCATCATAATTATAAAATAAAGAAAGATTAAAGGTTTTTTTAATAATTAGGTTTCTTCTTTAACTTAAGACATCTTCAGATTATTTGAGATAAATTATATACATGAGGTTTTAAATACAAGCATATATTACAGGGTGTTAAATTACATGTGAGGGGAGTAGGAAGTTTAGATGAAGGAATGAAGTGAGAATGGCAGTATATTAAAGAAGGTGAAGGGGGATTGAGTTGCCTTGGGTGTTAAGAGAGGGTTTAAGTTTGGATATAAGAAAGCTTTCATGAATCATAAGGTCATAATTGTCGGCTTTTTTACTTTACTAAAGGAAACCTTTTTTTATTAGAATGTAAATGCTTCATTTGCAAAACTGTGCAAGTGTGGAGATTTCCAAGTGCGTAGATAACACATTCACCTTCACTATTTTGAAACAATAATAAATACATTTACGATATTAGTTGTAAATACATTTTATTATGACATATGAACCATACCAAAGAGAGCAAAGGTAATGCTACAAGATCATAATAAGAACATCGAGATTTTAAATGGATAAGTTAATCTGAAACACAACCTTTACAACAATGACATTGAAATATAAAAATTGCAATAAACCTTCCACACTCTACTCATCACACACTCAATTTCTCATCTCTTTGAGACAGTGAGTGGAAGGTTTATTGAAATTTTTGCATTTCAAAGTCAATAAGATCTTTACTCCTTTTGAATTTTAAAACTCATTTAATATAAACGACAAGTTTTTTGAAAATAGACATAATAAATAATACAAGGTTTATATAAAAGTAATATGATCCATAAATTACAACAATAAAAGGAAATAAGATAAATTAATGGGGAGCATCCAAGCGTATTATAAACTAAATATTGTATTGAATTTAAAAACTTGAACATTGAGGTCAGGGTTAGTTTTGTTAATGTGGAGTGTTTCTTTGATTTTAAAGGACAATGAGGTGTCGGCAGTGTCAATGATTTTGAAGCAAGAGGGGAATAGTTGGTTTTACATGAGTGAGATATAAGAAGGTGTCGGTAGATATGAGATTTAAAAACTTGATGTTCAAGTTTTTAAATTCAATACAATTAAATTCAATTCAGTCAGCCAAGCTTTTTTGAAACCATTATGAATCAAAATTAATATCATTTGACGTCTTACATGAACTGTTCTTAACCAATAGAGCTATACCTCATATTCATCATGTCATTTTAACTTTTAAATATGTTTATGTCAAGATTTCAATTGTAGAATGATTATTATATATACTACTGAACATTGTGTACAACAAGACAACTGTCAATAAATGATTTGTCAAGAAAAACGAACCTTAAGAACCAAGAAAAGCACGAAGCTTTGTCTTACACCACTGTATATGACAGATCATTCTCATTGAAATGCATCAAACTGCAATATTGCTACATAAACACAACGAGGATGGACATTTTGATGTTCACGAAAACAAAATTTAATTATTTTTAAATGTTCCAAATGTGCACAGCAATGTAATTATATCTTACAGTAGCTGTGCCAGGCCTAAATAACATACAATGATGAATAATCTTTTGAAAATTTCACTGTTTGATTGTAAACTGTTTTCTTCTTTAAGATAAATCCCATTTCACCACCTACCTATGTTGTCATGACAACAACAATGAATCGAGAAGAAGGTTTGAAAGCTTTGGAAACATCTATCAAAGCCATTGAAGAAGTCATTATGAACAAGAAAGGAACATTTGTTTTACAACAAGCTGTAAGTGTTTGGTTTATATTTCTATGAAAAGTATATTGTATCACTAAAATGACATCCCCCTGGTGCCTCTACTGTCCTCATATCATCCTGTTACCATTTCCTTAAGTACTCCATGCTGTATTAAGACGGACATATTCAATCATTAGTTGTTTATTTGAAAATTACAATGACACCATCCCAATGCATTGAAGCACATTGAAGCAGATTTGCATATTGAAGAAAAGTTATGTGTCTCCAAAACAAAATAAAATAACAAAGCACATGTTCACACCATTTACACAATGACTGTCTCATGTTTGCTTTGTCTGACTGTGTAACTATTATCAGAAGGACATCACTTGAGTCCATTGGACATTTTGTACACCTGTATGATGTATCAAAGATTTGAAATCATACAACTGACGTATGTTTAATGAGCTGCTGTTTTTTGCAGCGTCAGAGAAAAGAATAAAACAAGCAGAGTTTGTCATGTTCTTATTCAAGTAGTACTTTATGTTTAACTTAGGAGCTAAACATGTTTCATACAAAATGTTTTATGGTTTTTGATTGTTTATATGAAATGATCTATTCCACGACCAACCCTTACCTCTTGTTTTCAGTGTGAGCGTAGGGAATGGTCGGGCATACAAACAAAATATTTTTACTCTATAGCGTTGCGTGAACTGACAATTTTTCGTAAAAGCTCAGAAGCGATATCTCTGACTCTTTGAGCTTCAGACGCAACGTTTGACTGTCCTTTACTGATTTCTATGTTCACACACAGTCCAAGAACACATTAAAACGATGAATAATTGGACAATATTTGAAATACACGTGCGAATAAAGTTGGGCACGACCAAAGGAAAATATTTGGCGATTGAGCATGCGTACGACGCAATGCAGCTTTATATATTATTAGTAATTTATGTTTTGGTCGTTCTCGCCTGATCAGAGCACAACCAAACTAGGGCTGACTATACCCATTTGAACAGGCCGTGAGGTTTTCCAGCCAATCAGCGCTTAGGAATATATAATTTGGTCGTGCTGGTCTGAGTAGAGGACGACCAAAAACGGGCGAACGCCCTTCCATTTGCTTTTAGGCAATAAATAGGGCAGATAAAGTAAATGGTTTGAACCCGGGAGTATCGTTATATGTTTGTAAATGATGATCGTCCAGGTTAATAAAGTCCTGAGAAGGACTGTTTTTGATGTTGTTGACTGACGTTTCGACAACCTTAGCGGTAGTCATCTTCAGAGTCAAATGAGGAGTAAACGTCAGGTTAGCCGTATTTGTTGTCTGGTTCTTACGTCATTGTATTGTGTGTACAGGAAATGTGCAGGAAATGTGTATTGTCATTGTGGATTAGTGTGAAGTGAAATATTTTATTTTTAGTTGTGATGTGTGATTTAGGTGTGACGTTTTTAGTTGTAGTGTGTGGGTGTCAATTGTGTATTGTCATTGTGAATTAGTTTGAAGTGTAATGTTTTAGTTGATCGTTTGTTTGTATTGTGAATAAGTCGTTTGTAAGGTGCCGGTAATTGCTGTGATCTGTTCAGGGGGGTTTGTTCAAATTGGTATACCAACTTTCTAATGTAAGCCGTTGTCTATAGTCAGTACTGTAAGTGATGCATTTTGCCGAGTCCCAGTCAATGTTGTGCTTTGTGATTCGGTGATGTTCGGCAATGTGATTAGTTTTGTCTTGTTTCTTAGTAGCTCGTTTGTGCTCAGTAAGTCTTATGTTTAAGTTCCTGCCAGTTTCCCCGATATAGGAGGCGTGGCAGTCGGAGCAGTTTATTTTGTAAACTGCACCTTGTCGTTCGTTGGGGTGTTCTTTGTCCTTTATGTTCGTTAGTACTTGTCGTAATGTTGTGATTGGTTTATGTGCGACACGTATGTTGTACGGTCGTAAGATACGTAGTCAGACGTACCTTTGATGTAAGGTATCGTTGCTGGTATACCTTACATCAAAGGTACGTCTCATTGACTAATTCACAATGACAATACACAATTGACACCCACACACTACAACTAAAACGTCACAGACAAAATTAGACAATATTTGAAATACTCGTGTGAATAAAGTTGGACACGACCAAAGGAAAATATTCGGCGATTGAGCATGCGTACGACTCAATGCAGCTTTATATATTATTAGTAATTTATGTTATTGTCGTTCTCGCCTGATCAGAGCACGACCAAACTAAGGCTGACTATACCCATTTTAAAAGGCCGTGAGGTTTTCCAGCCAATCAGCGCTTAGGAATATATAATTTGGTCGTGCTGGTCTGAGTAGAGGACGACCAAAAACGGGCGAACGCCCTTCCATTAGCTTTTAGTCAATAAATAGGGCAGATGTCGGGCAGAAACGTAATATAGTGAAAGTAATATGAAGTACATATCACAAAATACAAATGAAGCATAAGAAATCGATTTTGTTTTCGCTAATATCTGTCAACATTAAAAACAAGTAATAAAATTTTAGTGGGTAAATAAAACCTTAGTTTGAAAAATGTTTGGTCGTGCTCAGCACAACCATCCCGACCTCTAGCTTTGCCACTGTGTGGATGGTTTGCTGAAATTAAGAATTGTCACCCAGTGCTCGCATTTTCTTTGTGTATTATAACTTGTTTCTATACTTAAGTACATTATAAAGTAAATGGTTTGAACCTGGGAATGTCGTTACATGTTTGTAGATGCAGATCGTCCATGTTGTTAAGTCCTGAGAAGGACTGTTTTTGTTGTTGTTGACTGACTTTTCGACAACCTTAGAGGAAGTCATCTTCACAGTCAAATGTTTGTGGAAGTCAGAGTCAAAAGTCACTTCACTCTGAAGATGACTACCGCTAAGGTTGTCGAAACGTCAGTCAACAACAACAAAAACAGTCCTTCTCACGACTATACCAACCTGGACAATCTACATCTACAAACATTTAACGATATTATGTTGTTCTTCATCAGCTTGGAAGAGATTTGGACAGTACAGCATGTTCATGAGAGATCAAAGAATGCCCATGTGTCTCAAAAGGAAGATCATGGACACTGTCATACTACCAGCAATGACTTATGGAGCAGAGACGTGGGCACTTACCAACCATCAAAGAGAGAAACTGGCAATCACCCAAAGGAGCATGGAAAGATCAATGCTCGGTGTCACGAGGAGAGATAAGATCCGGAATGAAGACCTGAGAGCAAGAACAAAGGTGAAGGATGTCATCGAGAAAGTTAATGAAGCCAAAGGAAAGTGGGCAGGACATCTAGCCCGAATGAAAAACCATGAATGGGCAAAGAAAACATCTGAATGGACCCCGTGGGACAAGAAAAGAGGCAAGGGAAAACCAAAAAAGAGATGGAGAGATGACATCGAGCAGAGAGCGGACAGCGTGTGGATCCAGAGAGCCCAAGACCGTGAAGAGTGGAGAAAGATGTGGAGGCCATCCGCCAGCAGTGGCGTGACAGGCTGATGATGATGATGATGATGATGTTGTTCTTATACTTTAGTACATCACGATGGTTAGGCATAAAAAATAAAAAGCCTTTAAAAGCAATTTTATTGTGTGATAAGAAATTTTGAGCAAAAGATAATCATTGTCTACAATGATCCACCAGTGATCCTATCTATAAAAATGCAATGTTCCTGTCAAATTTTGTAGCAAGTCGTAAACAGGAAGCCGAAAATAAAATATTGTCACAGCGCAAACTATAGTCAACATACTTGTGTTCTTTTCACTGATTTGCACGCAGAAATTAGAAATACTTTTTGAGCAAACCTCATTGTTGGCTATGAAATAACACTATCATTATTAGCTTGTTTTGAAACAATTGTGTTGGAATGAGTTGATAATAGCACTGAAAAAAATAAAAGTCAATAACGACATAAATAAAAATACAGATCATTACGAAATAGATTTACAAAAACTTACAAATTTTTACCCATTTTTCATTAGTAGATAACATTAAAGTGTAGTTGTTTTTGAATGATTATTGAATGGTTAAAACAAAATATTTTCTTGAGTTTTACACAAATGTATTTATAATACAAAATTTACATAATCTGTTTCTTTCTATGAATACCACTTTACGTTGAAGTTGACGATGATTTAAAGTTTTTCTTGAGTTGATGGAACATTCAAAACAAGGTCTTCCTCCAACATTTCCATCGAAGATTCAAATTCTTCAGAAAAAGTCTCTTGAATGGGTAAATTTAGAATTGGTTGAGTATTTCCACCATCTTCCATACTTTCATTTTCCACTGCACTGTCGTATCTTTCGTTGCCATCTTCTAGCATATCACAATTATTATCTTTAACGTTATTCTCTTGTTCAACACAGAAATTTTTACCTTTGTCGTTCATCTTTTTGTAAAGGACGATCTAAAGATAATTACAATAGGAAAAGAGTCCTCATTTCGACTCTTCTACAAATGGAAATGCTGGTTTTACGCAAACGAATTACGTTAATGGTGAACGATTTACACGATGCTTATATCTGTAAAAAATATTTTCCGATTTTGCGCAAAAGAAATGAAACAAGAATGTAAGATTTAGGATAATTGTATTTTATTTCACATGGTCGTGCTAATAATAAATTAAAATCGTCACGATTTCTTGTTACATCACCTTAAGTAAATATGGTTTGGATCGTAAGCGTAGGAAAACATGTTTTTAAAAAGTGTTAAATAAATTACATTAGTAACAGCTACCTTTTCTTAAAAGCCAACTTCACGAATATTCACGAATTAAAATCCAGTCGAGTGTCCAGTTTAACGCGCTTGAAGACTTCAAACACCAATGAATGTTCAGTGATTTTATACATCTCTATATAAACAAATGAAACATTCTATCATGTGTTTCGTCATACACATTTGTAACCCAGAACGGAACTTCCGCACTTATTTCCATCAATATTGAGGATAATATTTATGGAACGGAATCCATCAATATTAATGAATATAGTCTCCCGTGTTTTATGATTACACACATTTGTGTGGACAAACCTTTGTTTTGTTTGGTGATTGTTTCAA